TATCAAACAAAATTTCATTTAAATATTTTAAAATTTAAAAAATATAGATCATAAGTATATTTTTGTTAATTTTCCAGACAAATTTGCCTGGAAATGGTCTACAGTTTAAGGGATAAGACTAAAAGTGCACTCCGTCACTAACTTCTGGATTATTCTTACGTTCTCCAGATTTCCATTCGTTTAAAGTCAGATGATATATACGCATCATTGTGACTGATATAGACTCATAGGACATTCGTCTGATTGGCTGGTGTAAATCAATTGCCGGTAACGGTAACTTATTTTTATATACTTTAAAGTACTTTTTGGGAACACAACGTTTCACCAATAAAAAATCATCGCAAAACCCTTCGATAGAACGTCTATATTTACTATGCAAAAATAATCAGTAAACCTATTTTATTACGTCAGATTTAAATAAACTTTTATTTCTAACTGTTAATTTGTGTAGGGCAAGCTCTTTAGTAGTAAAAGATCCGGGCTTAAGATTAAATTTGGTCGGTTATTGTAGTGTGTTTGGGTTTGTCGACCGTAAATTAATAGTTAAGGTTTTGGGTTATATTTTATCGATTTATTAATGTAATGAGTTGGGTTTATTAACAATAAATATTTAATTTACCCACTTTACATGCATCTATCTATTCTCTAAATGTAAATAATAACCTTTTTTTTGCGTATATTTATTGTCCGTAAGCTTCTTTATACGAAGTTTTTTTTTCGTAAATTAGTTAAAAATTATGTATATTGATTGGTTAATTATCACGGGTAGATCTACCGATCAAAAAAATCATTTTTGAAAATTTTTGTTTTAATGCAGTAAAATTTTGAGCAAAATTAAAGTATAATTTGGGCCGAGCAATCTAAATTTGGGCGGAAAAGCAAAAATACGTAGCCCCAAACGGATATGTATGATCACGTTATCCGTATTCTGTGTTCTGATTGTTAATTAGTATATAATACTGCAGTGGGTTGTGTCGCAAGAAAAGAAAATTTTCAAGTTTATACATATTCCGCATTTACAATAAACAGTCAGAAGTTTAAACAACCCCATATTTAATTAATAGAGATCTCGTGTTTTGCGCCAGGGTATTTTGCTCTACAGCAAGTTATCATTCCAAAGGTATGTCGTCTCTGTATAAACCGGAGATGAGCAGAAGACCGAAGATGCCACTACCGCCGATTCTGCTTGCTTGTAAAAGCTCTCTTTCTCTCTCCGGTCCTTCATGGCTAAATAAGAGCCATTCAAAATAAACAGATTTGTGTTACAAAGCCGTGTCAACTTAATTATCAAGTCCTTTGGACTTTAAAGAATTTACTGTCCCCTATGGTGTGATGGGAGGCTTGAATCATTTGGGTCTTGTTCTCTTTTCGCTGCCGACTGTTTGGATCTATCACCATGTACTCGTCTTTGGACCAGTACCTAAGTGTGATGAACTGTTTGCGCCAACATACAGCTTTTGTCTTTTCTTATTTTGTTTGTCTGGGTTATTGAAGAACCAGTGAGGGATGGTTTGTTTGCATCAAAGTTTTCAACGACGACATATTTATGTCTTGTTTGAGGCTTTCGCAATCACAATACTCTGTGCTCGATATCGGCCAGAGCCAACCCAACGATGTCACGACCAGGTTGAACGAACGATAACAGTTAACAACACACACACTGCGCCTTTTTAGCATTTTCTTTTTTTTTTTTTTGTGATCAAAGATTCAACTACCAAGTCGGCAATGAAAATTTTTATCCTCTTTGCTAAAAAAAAAAAAGAGCCATTGGTTTCTTCATGGAAGTTAGATTGGCTACTATAATATGAAATAGAGGCGTATTTATATCGCTTAAATTGTCGTTATGCACGTCCTTAGGGGCAAATGAGCAAAAAGAGCAGTAGAATATGGCGGCCGGCACCTTGTTTCATTCGGAGTTGTGTCATGGGGAACGATTACTATATCTCAAAGTTACTAAAACCTCTGCCATCAAAATCTCTTCATTATATGGTGAACGGCCAATCTGCACCCTTTTTATTTTGCACATAAATTTATCGTATATCAGAATATCATCTCAGAATGGCTGACCATCCCGACGACTTAATCGACTACGATGAGGAAGATGAAACCATACCGACCGAAGCTGTTCCAAGCGACCAACTAGCTGCTAACGGCCAAGAAGCTACTGACGAGGATAAGAAGGACAAAAAGGGCAGTTACGTAGGTATCCACTCAACGGGCTTTAGGGATTTCTTATTGAAGCCAGAACTGTTACGGGCTATTGTTGATTGCGGATTTGAACATCCATCCGAAGGTTTATATTTACTTTTTTTTTTGTTTTCATCATACCATTAATTTTATATTTCTTACTTGTAAATTATTTTACTAATTGCTAACGTTATTTATCAATAAAAAATTATAGTTCAACAAGAATGTATTCCTCAATCAATCCTTGGCATGGATGTCCTTTGCCAGGCCAAATCTGGAATGGGAAAAACAGCAGTATTTGTGCTCGCTACACTTCAACAAGTTGATCCCGTTCCTGGAGATGTTGCGGTTATTGTCCTTTGCCACACTCGTGAACTCGCATTTCAAATTAGGAACGAATATATTCGGTTTAGCAAATATACATCTGAGGTCAAGATCGATGTTTTTTATGGGGGCATTCCTATTAAAGAAGATTACAAAAAGTTTCAAAGCAAGGATACCATCCCACACATTGTTGTTGGCACACCAGGAAGAATTCTTGCTTTGGTTAATGATGGTCATCTGAAAGTGGGTAGTGTCAAACATTTCGTTCTTGACGAATGTGACAAAATGCTGGATCAGCTTGGTAAGTTTCAATGTTTCAACAAATTTTGATTTTATTCTTGGCCTTATTTTAGGATGACAACTTTATAGCTTAACCCAGCTCGTCTAAGGTTTAATATCTTATGAGATTATAAAAACATCTGATTCAAGTTATTATTAATTACTTGTTTAGAAAAATCTAAATTTATGCTTATTAACCATTTTTAATATTTTGTTATTCTATGACGTAGACATGAGACGTGATGTCCAAGCTATCTTCAGAAAAACTCCACACAATAAACAAGTCATGATGTTTAGTGCAACTCTCAGCAAAGAAATTCGACCGATTTGCAAGAAATTCATGCAAAATGTAAATCTTAAAGCAACTCCTAATTTTTGTTTTTTTATTAATAAATACACCATTTACTATTTATTCTATTTATTAACAGCCACTTGAAATCTACGTCGATGATGAAACAAAATTAACTTTACATGGCCTTCAACAACATTTTGTAAAGTTACAAGAATCCGCTAAGAACCGCAAGCTTAATGATCTTTTAGACACACTTGAATTTAATCAAGTGTGTATTTTCGTAAGATCTGTTTCTAGAGCCAATGAACTAAATAAACTCCTTTGCGATTGTAACTTCCCAAGTATTTGTATTCATGGTGGTATGAAACAAGAGGAAAGGTAAACGTAATTACACACTCGAAGCAACTTTGACATTTCCATTGTAGACATAACTAATTCTGTCTGTTTATCAGAATTGCGAAATATAAGTCGTTCAAAGACTTTCAGAAGAGGATCATGGTAGCTACAGATGTGTTTGGTCGTGGTATTGATATCGAACGTGTGAACATCGTTATCAATTACGATATGCCCGACGGTCCAGATACATATTTACATAGAGTAAGATTTTATTTCTTTTAATATTTTATTTAATATTGAATCAAATTCTCATGATTAAATCAACATTAGGTTGGACGTGCCGGACGTTTCGGAACTAAAGGTGCTGCGATCACATTTGTTGCTAATTCTGAAGATGCTGAAATTTTGAACAAAGTTCAAGAACGATTCGAAGTGGTTATTACTGAGCTTCCAGACGAGCTTGAGATTAACAATTACAGTAAGCTTTTATTTTGTTTTTTGATCATATGTTAACGATGATCTAACATTATATTTTAATAGTGGCGTCGTAAACGAAATTATTTCTTACATGTTCGTTGCACGGCTTATTTTGTTTATAATAAATTTATATTCATCTTTTATATGAAAAATTTTTAACTATTATTATAAAATTACATAAATATATTCAAAACAAAACTGTCACTAGTACTTTTGCCAGGGACTGTAAAGTTATACATGTATCGTAATTAACAATGATTTAAAGCTACATTTTTTCGTTTTAAATATTGGATAAGGTTATCGCATATCATCACAGCGAATAAAATAATAATTGTTCAAAACTCTCAATTAAAAAAAACTTTCTTTTACGAAGACGTAACTATTATAAATAATCTGTAAAAAATCTCCTGATCGTAAAACTTATTCTGGCATCGCCAATTTAAATTTCACAAAAAATTAAGCCATTATTGTCCGAAGCATTCTGTTCTCCACGTGACTTTGATGTGATTGGTTGTTACGATTCGCACTAGATCTTTTTGAAGGCAGATTGACATTTGAAAAAAATTTAATTTTCATAGGTCATATCTTGATTGATTTTGATGCTATTTTGATGATTTAATATTCAAAATAAAGCTTTCTTAATCATCATGATAGCATCAAAATTTATCGAGATATGGGTTATGAAAGTTAAGGTAAATGTTTTTTTTTCAAATATCAAACTGTCTTGTTTCTATTGACTGCTTTCCCGCTACATTGAGGTGGCTTATCATCCCAATAGAATCAAACATATGTATAAATTTGTTTATCATTCTAAATAATAATAATCAAATTTATTTTTCTGCTAATTTTCGAAATAACGATTAAAAAATTTAATTTCAGAAAAATAATACGTATAGAAATATTCAAAAATTCATTATTTTTAAGCTTACATAAAGTAAGTTGCTTGTTAACAAAATCAAGAATTTTTTTTGACATCAAGATGAGGTCTTGTTCATATTTTTATTAGTAATTTAAAAATAATAACAATGTAAATTGCTAATACACAGTTGCTAATGCATCTATTTGTAGTTAGGGTTAATTATTAAATTATTATAATAAGATCTTACAAATTTATTACTATTTATATTAGTACAAATAAAATGAAAATTACATATAAAAATAAAAATTCAGACAAGAAAAAAGAATTTATTTGTAATTTAAATCTATTAGAGTGGTTAGAACTTATCTAAGATATAATTTAATAAAATATTATATTTAATTCAATAAATAAATCATATATTGATCTTTTTTTTGATCTGATCAACTAGTAAACAGATTTTTATATGAGTATGTAATTGATTTAAAGATTTACAAAAGCAGAAAAATATATATAATTTATTTTATTTTTATTTTATTTTTTTTTTAAGATAACCTTTTTGGTTTTTTGTCTTTTATTAATCACTTATTGGTATTATTGTTCAATGAACTACTACAGGAAAGCATACAATTAGTTACACATATAACTTTTCTATATTACCTATTTAAAAAGTTTGTCTAAAGGTTCCTTACCAATTGTTGTACCTAACATCTCTGCTTGGATGTTCCACTTTAAACCTTTTGAATCTGTAATCTGTGTTAACTCATTAGATTATATCCAGATGTTTAGATCATTATCTTAACCTTAGGATTAATTTATCTTTGAAGTAAACTTCTTAGAGTCTTCTGTATTCATTTTTACAATTGATCTAGGTATCATTATAGCAAAACTAACACTTGCAATTAAAGTTTAACTATTAAATTGTTATGTTTTTGTAGAGTTTACTTAAACTCTAGCATTTATTTCACAACATAATTTTGGTACTTTAGTATATCTTTGTCTTTTTACCTGTCTTTTTTACCAGACTCCTAATTCAGATAGTCTATATAGGACTACGACTAGTTCTTCAATATATCAAGTCAGCACAATATCCTTTTTTTTCAGTTTATTCTAGTGGCCTGATTAGTAGTATCTCTGAGATTCTCAACTCAGAGATTCTTGCTCATTTGGTTACTATGATTAGGTATTATGACCTTAGTATCTATTTCTTCAGACTAGTTTTTACAATAAAGTCATTAAAGATTCAGCTATCTCTCTATTTAGGTCTTTCTAAATAGACTTTTTGTTATCCAATTTCAATAGATTTACATAGTTACAAGAACTTATCTAGTGTTTGTATTATCTGATTTGTTGGTTTGCATTTCTCTGTATAATGTCATACTTACACAAATGCCTCATAATCTGCTAGTCATGCTGGTATGACTGCTATTATAGATATCCTAACCTAATCATTAGTAACAGTTATCATAATATGAATATTACATAGTGAATTATTCAAATTTTTACTATCAATGAGATTTGAACACCCAATTACTATTTGGAAGGTTAACAACCTAACTACTTTACTAGGTTACCACACTCCATATATATATATAATTTATGATTATAATTAGTAATAATAGGTTGTTATAAAAGTATAGAATATTATGATTTTAAACTATATTTTAGTTAAATTTGTATAGATATTTTAGTTTATATTATTTTTTTCAATTAATAAAATTTATATAATAGGATTTTTATAATTAATTGTAGAGTTTATTATTAATTTTAAGTAGTAGATTAATAATAATAATTTTTTTTTGTTTCACTAAAGTCATTGATTATTAGTAGTTACTACCTTTATTGTGATTTTAATTATAATTATATAACTTGTACAAAGTAAGTATGCAATTAGTTACATATACAGTTTTTAGTTATCTATTTAAGTAGTCTCTTTATAGGTTATATACTAGCTGTTATACTTGTAACTACTAGGAAATTATCTAATTAAACATTCTGATCTTTATATTACACTTAACAAGTTTTTATATATCTAATTCTGATCTCTTTGTCTGTATATCTATCAAGCTGTTACATATTTCAGAGTACATTACTTAACTATAGGACTTCAGAGAAGTTTCTGCTAACTATATATTTTTAGTCTTTGTTAACAGAATTTACTTATATAAAGTTTATTCAGATCCTAGTATCATTTTATAGTATATCTTTAGTACTTATAATATACTCTTGTTTTTGGCATCAGACTTCTAATTCAGATAGTCTAAAAGAACTATAACCTGTTTTTAATATTCTAGAGTTTTATTTTTCAAGATCTTTTTTCTTTAGTTTAAAACTTCTAACAGTCTGATTGGTAATATTTTTTACTTAAAATTATTACCTACCTGATTCATTCATATTGATATTTATTTCTTAGGTCTAGTCTTTACAGTAGTATTATTAAAGCTCTGTATTACTTCTTTAGTCAGATCTTTTTCAAATAGACTTCTTGTTTTTCAATTTTAACAGATTTACATAGTTATAAGAACTTATTTAATGTTTGTATTGCTTGATGTTAGTTTATATTTCTTTGTATAATTTGTTATATATATGCTTTATAATCTGCCAGTTATACTGATATAACTATTATTATAGATTTTTTTTTTTTTAAACTTAAGCAGTCATGCTAGTACTTTATTAAGACTCTTGAAATTACTTTTGCAATTATATAGATTTACCTAACAACTAAGTCTAGCATCACTTAATCACCTTAAGAATATCTAAGTACAACCTGCTGTACTACTTTAAACAGAAGTAGGCTACTTGTTTAACTACTTAAAGTCTATAATAAAAGAGTTTTCTTCTTTTATAACAAGCCTCAACATTGTTTTCTTAGTTTCTTTATTAATTTTATTCTTTTTCTCTTTTGCTTTATTTATTGATTTTTTTTATATTGTATTTTCTAAACTTGTTTATAAAATGTATTCTATACTATTTTTGCTACTATCTTTATAAACTGCTGTCTTGCTTTTGTACTTAGAAGCTATGTTAGTTTGTCTTGTGTCTTTTTCAGAATTAAGCTTTTGATTAAAGCTTCTCTTATTTCTATGTTTTTGGCTTCTACTTTTCTGAAAAGTGCTATATATAGTACATATAGAGGAATGTAGGATTTTTTTCCTTATTTTAACCCTTTCTAGGCTGTTGTGATAGTCATCTTTTGTATTTATTTCTAGGGCTTCATTGTTCTTTACATGATGCTAAATATAACTATATTTTAACTTTATCTTAACATACTTGGCACTCTATTGTTGTGTATATATCTGAACTTCTTCTATTAAGTTCTTCTAAGATCAGAAGTTTATCTATCATACACTTTATAAATACATATCTTCTTGTACTACTTTTTCTTATTATGCAATGCATTCCTTTAGTTATTTTTAGCCTTTTTTAAAATTGCATCCAGTTATGAATTATGATTTCTGTTTTTGATTCTAACTTTTTGGTTGCTTTTATTTCTTTCTATTCTGCTCCTAATTTTGTTTTATTACCAATTTGTATAACAATCTTGCTGATATATTAGTTCATTTGTTTTTCTACTTTAGGCAGTACTCTATCTCTTTACAACTGACTTTTTCTATTTGTATTACTTTTTCACTTATTGTTTTCTTTTTTGCAAAACTATCATCTTTGTTATTCTACTTGTTCTTGCTATAACTTATAACTTTTACTAACTTTATCTGTATTTTCTTTGTGTTGATAAGATCTATAATCTTTATTATTTATATTACATTTTTTTCTTAAGGGTTTTTATTCTATCTATTTGCTTTAAACTTCTACTAATATTTCTTATTGTAGCATTATTGTCTAAATATATTTTTACTTGTCTTTCTCTTAATATTGTTAAGATTGCTATCTATATTGCTACTAATTCTGTTATTGTTGATATTATACATTTTTCTAGTCTTAATAATATTTTTTTTTCTGGTCACTCTTGCATTTTATTAGTTTGGATCCATCTTATACTTATATTTTTGCTTTGTATTTTTTCTTTGGTCTTTACATTTATAGCACTATCTATATATATAATATATTTGTTTTTATTACTTAATAGGTTTCTTCTTAGTATCTTTAAGATTTCTTGATTAACATTTTTGTTTAGTTTTTGTTACTTGATTATTTCTATTTCTAACTCTTTTATCATCATTAATTCTTCAAATTTTTGCTCATTATCTTTTGGCTTTCTGTTTTTACTTTTTCTATCAACTGGTTTATAGCTAACTTGATCTTGCTATTTCTCTTTTTTATTGATATGTTGAAAATTATTTTAATTTTGTTATTTATTCTTATCTATTGCTAGCAACTGCCTTTTTTTTATTCTTCTTCTTCTGTATATTTATCACATCTACTAATTTCTGTTGCTATTTTATTCTTCTTACTTTGCATTTGCTAATGTTCTAGCAAGACCTTTTTCTTTTTTTTCTTTACTATCTTTCCTAGTTGTTTACAGTCTTGTACACTGTATATTATTTATTCTTTTTTTTTATCTTTTAACATGATCTTTTATTCTATTTTTATTGCTTAAGTATTATGTTTGTAGATTTATTTGTCTTAAAGTGTTCTTTGACTTCTCTATTTGTTGGCCCTTCAAGCACTTTGGACTCTATTTCTTTGAACCATTTTGCTTTTTTGCCTTTACTTGACTGTTCACAGCAGTTTTTAAATTGTTGCTATGTAATTAGCTTCTCATCTTTTGTGTTGAGCAGCTAATTTAGGTAAATTAAATCTGTTTTACTTATCTTTATTCTACTTCTTTTCCACAAATGTGTTTTTAACAGTTCTCATATTTTGGTACTATATTCAAATATTCTTCATAAGTTATTTTCAGCTCTTATACTTATTTTTAGTTTTTTTGTTTTTATTACTATCAAACAAACTAAGTTGTTCTT